TTAAATTTATACTGAATAGGTCTAGTCAATGCATGCATTCACATCACCACCAGTAAACAAATGCACACGGCTGGGGCATGGCTTAGCACACCTCAGAACATCTTTTGTTTCCTTTGCCCAAGAAGATATATCAGAAAAAAATATTGCTATGAGAAATGTCTGAGATTTTACTACCTATTTTTTTCTAAGACTTTTATGGTTTGAAGTATAACATTGAAGGCTTTAACCCATTCTGAGTTTATTGTGGTGTATGGTATAAGAAGGGGTCTAATTTCATTTCTTTGCATGTCATCTGTCTAATTTTCCCAACACTGTTTAGTGAATAAACTATCTTTACCCCATTGTATGTTCTTGCCTCCTTTGTCAAATATTAATTGACTATTAAAACATGGGTTTATTTCTGGGTTCTATATTCTGTTCCATTTATCTATATATCTGGTGTTTTTTTTATGCCAGTATCATGCTGTTTTAATTACTATGACCTTATAGTATTGTTTGATATCAAGTAGCATGATACCTCCAATTTTGTTCTTTCTCAAGATTGCTGTGACTATTCAGGATCTTTTGTGGTTCCATATAACATTTTGGAATATTAGTTCTAGTTCTGTTAAATACATTATTGGCGCCCTAGCTGGTTTGACTCAGTGGATAGAGCATCGGCTGTGGATGGAAAGATCCCAGGTTCGATTCCAGTCAAGGGCACATGCCCAGTGGGGGACATGCAGGAGGCAGCCAATCAATGATTTTCTCTCATCATTTATGTTTCTCTCTCTCTCTCTCTCTCTCTCTCTCTCTCTCTCCCTCTCCCTTCCTCTCTGAAATCAATAAAAATATATTTTAAAAAATACATTATTGGTATCTTGATAGGATTGTAATGAATCTATAGATTGCTCTGGGTAGTATGGACATTTTAATTATTTAAATTCTTCCTACCCATGAACAGGATATATGCTTCCAATTATTTGTATCTTCTCTAATTTCTTCAATGTCTTCTAATTTTCTGAGTACACGCTTTTTACATCCTTGGTTAAATTTATTCCTAGGTGTGTGTTTTTTTTATGCAATTATATGTGGGATTGTTTTCTTAGTTTTTATTTCTGGTAGTTCATTATTTATTTCTGGTAGTTGCATTGGTTTATAACAATGCAACTGATTTCTAGATATTTATTTTGTATCCTGCTACTTTACTAAATTCATTTATCAGTTCTAGTAGTTTTTGGTGGAATCTTTAAGGTTTTCTATATACAGTAGCACATCATCTTCAAATAATGGGTTTAACTTCTTTCTAACTTGGATGCCTTTTGTTTTTTTTCTTCTTGTCTGATTTCTATGACTAGGACTTCCAGTACAATGGCGAATAAGAGTGGTAAAAGTGGACATTGCTGTCTTGTTCCTGATTTTAAGGGAAAAGCTTTTCGTTTTTGCCCATTGAGTATGATGTTGGCTATGGGTTTGTCATATATGCCTTTTATTATATTGAGGTATGTTCCCTGTATTTCTACTTTGCTCAGAGTTTTTTAAAATCATAAATGGTGCCTCATTTTATCAAATGCTTTTTCTACATCTATTGATATGATCATGTGGTTTTTATTTTTCATTTTGTTTATGTGGTATATCATCTTTACTGATTTGCTGATATTGTTCCAAACTTGCATCCCCACAATAAATCCCACTTATGGTGTAGGATCCTTTTCATGTATTGCTGGACCTGATTGCTAATAAATCATACACTTTAAATACAAACAGTTTATTGCTTGTCAATTTTATCTAAAGTTGAGAACAAGCCAGTGATGTATATTCTCACCCCTTTTTCCTATATCATGCAGGGGATCCTAACACCTCCAATAAGACAAGAAAAAGAAATAAATGGCATACAGATTGGAAATAAATAAATAAGACTTTTTCTATCCTGACAGCTTCGAAAATTGCAAAGAATCTAAAAAATAATACTAGAACTAATAAACAATTTTATTAAAGTCACAGGATACAAGAGCTATGTACAAAATATTTATTTTTATATTTCCACATACTAGCAATGAACCAGTAAAATATTAAATACAAACAAAACAGTACCATTTACAATAGCTCCAAAATTCATAAAATAGTTACTTACAAATCTAACAGAAAAGTGCAAAATCAGTATACTAAGAATTACAAAACACTGGTAAAAGAAATCAAAGGAGGTCTAAATCAATGGAGAGATACAACATTTTCATGGATTATAAACCTGAGTATTGTTAAGATGTCAATTCTCTCCAAAATTATTTATAGATTTAATACAATGCCAATCAAAATCCCAGTAGAACTGTTTATAGAAATTCACAAATACATTCGAAAATAAGTATGTAAAAGGAAAAAAGCTAACAGAGTCTAAACAAATTTTTAAAAGACTAGGAAGTTGGAGAACTCACACTATCTCATGTCAAAACATAATGTAAAGCTTCAATAGTCAAGACAATGTAGTATTATTAAAAAGATAAGACACATTGGATAATGAAAATAATAGAGTTCAGAAATAATTTCATGCATATAGAGTATCCCCCAAAATGTATACACACTTTTTAAAATACTTTTTAAAAATTTATTTCAGAGAGGGAGAGAGAGATTGAAACATCAATGATGAGAGAGAATCACTGATCGGCTTTCTACTGCACGCCCCTGGCTGGGGACCAAGCCCGCAATTCAGGCATGTGCCCTTGACTGGAATTGAACCTGGGACCCTTCAGTCCACAGGCTGACACTCTATCCACTGAGCCAAACCGACTAGGGCTGTATACACACTTTAACAGCTGATAGCTCAAATTTGAAAATGAAATGTATTTGAATAAACACTGCCTTTATAATTGTTCAAAGTGTATGTATATATATTTTTTGGGAAACACCCTATATATGTCCAAGTGAAGTTTGACAGCAATTCAATTCAATGACAAAATATATGTGTTTTTTGAAAGTTGTAGAAAAACTGGACATCCATATGTAAAAAATGAACCTCAACCCATACAAATGGACCTCATATCATATAAATAAATTAACTCAAAGTAAGTCATATCTAAATATAAAACCCAAAATTCTAGAACTTCTGGAAGAAAGCAAAGGAGAATAATTTTAGTGACCTCAGATAGGGCAAAAATATCTTAAATGCAACATAACAGACAAATCATAAAATAAAAAATTGATAAATGAAACTCCATCAAAATATTGTTTTTTTGCTACTTGAAAGTCACTTTATAAAATTAAATAATACTAACTGAAGACTGGGGGAAATATTTGAAAACATATTTGATAAAGGACTTGTGTGTCAGTGGTCCTTAAAACCACCCTGAGCCCTAGACGGTTTGGATCAGTGGATAGAGCACTGGCCTGCAGACTTAAGGGGTTCCAGATTCAATTCTGATCAAGGGCATATGCCCAGGTTGCGGGCTTGATTCCCAGCATGAAGCAAACAGCTGATCAATGATTCTCTCTCATCATTGAAGTTTCTATCTCTCTCTTCCTCTCCCTTCCTCTCTGAAATCAATCCTATATAATAAAGAGGTAATATGCAAATTAACCCTCATGCCCTCACAAGATGGCTGCCTATGACCAGGACAGCAGGGGATTAGTGAAGGATAACCAAACGACTAAACAAGCAGGCTGCATGGGGTGACCAGGCTGGCAGGGGGGTTAGTAAGGGACAACCAAACAACTGAACAGCAGGCTGTGTGGGGTGACCAGGCCAGCAGGGGGGCAGTTGGGGGCAAAAAAAAAAGTGGGGTGACCAGGCCAGCAGGGGGGGCAGTAAGGGGTGACCAGGCTGGCGGGGGGGCAGTTAGGGGCAACCAGGCTGGTAGGGGGGGCAGTTAGGGGCGATCAGGCCTGCATGCAAAGGCAGTGAGAGGCGATCAGGCCGGCGGCAGGGGGAGGGCAGTTAGGGGCAACCAGGCAGGCAGGCAGGTGAGCAATTAGGAGCCAGTGGTCCAGGATTGTGAGAGGGATGTCCCAGGGATCAGGCCTAAACTGGCAGTCGGACAGTCCCAGTTTGGAGAGGGTGCAGATTGGAGAGGGTGCAGGCTGGGCTGAGGGGATTCTCCCTTCCTGTACAAATTTTGTGCACTGGGCCTCTAGTAAAAATATATTTGAAAACAAAAACAAAGCAACCATGCTGATATTTGGTGATTCTCGAGGAAGACTCATAGTGCTCAGCATATAGTTATATTCACATCTTTGACTTATCACAGTGAAAGGATAGAGAGCAAAATCAACAAAGAAAAATGTGTGTGAGACAAAGTCTAAGGGAAATGAAGTGCAAGTATCCAAAAATTCTCTCAGTGATGTCCCATTTAATTCCTCTAGCAACAAGATATGACAACACATGTGAAATGCTGTCTACCAGGTATGCTCATTGAGAATTGGTGCCAATTTTGCAGGTTTTTGGATGGTGGAAGTGAGAAGGAGCTGATTACATAATTCCAGACTCCCACAAGGAAAGCAGGTATTCAACATAAACCATATTGTATCTACAGTTTAGACACAGTGAGTCATTGCTATAAGGAGATGATGGGAATCCTTCCTAGTTCCTAGATAGCAGTCTCTGGGTTACTATGATAATTCTTTTCTACACAACTTATATGTGGAATATATAAAGTACTTTTTAAAAATTTTCTTTATTGATTAAGGTATTACATATGTGTCCTTATCCCCCCGTTGCTCCCTACCCTCTCACTCATGTCCTCACCCCCATGGTGTCTGTGTCCATTGGTTATGCTTATATGCAATACAAGTCCTTTGGTTGATCTCTAACCCCTTCCCTCCACCTTCCGCTGCCTTCCCTCTGAGGTTTGATGGTCTGATCGATGCTTCTCTGTCTCTGGATCTGTTTTTGTTCATTAGTTTACGTTGTTCATTATATTCCACAAATGAGTGAGATCATGTGATATTGATTTTTCTCTAACTTATTTTGTTTAGCTCTCCAGGTCCATCCATGCTGTTGCAAATGGTAGGAGTTCCTTCCTTTTTACAGCAGTGTAATATTCCATTGTATAGATGCACCACTGTTTTTTAATCCACTCATCTGCTGATGGGCACTTAGGCTGTTTCCAAATCTTAGCTATTGTAAATTTTGCTGCTATGAACATAGGGGTGCATATATTCTTTCTGATTGGTGTTTCTAGTTTCTTGGGATATATTCCTAGAAATGGGATCACTGGGTCAAATGGGAGTTCCATTTTTAGTTTTTTGTGGAAACTACAAGGATGATACAATATCTGCAAATCAATAAACGTGATACATCACATAAACAAATTAAGAGATAAAAATCACATAATCATATCATTTGATGCAGAAAAAGCATTTGACAAAATCCAATACCCTTTCTTGATAAAAACCCTCAGCAAAGTGGGAATAGAGGGGTCATACCTCAACATAATAAAAGCCTTATATGACAAACCTACAGACAACATCATACTCAATGGGCAAAAACTAAAACCATTTCACCTAAGAACAGGTACAAGACAGGAATGCCCACTTTCACCACTCCTGTTCGACATAGTACTGGAAGTGCTAGCCATAGCAATTAGACAAGAAAAAGAAATAAAAGGTTTCCAAACTGGAAAAGAAATGTCATTATTCGCAGGTGACAAGATACTGTACATAGAAAAGCCTAAAGACTCCATCAAAAAATTATTAGACTTAAAAAATGAATTTGGCAATGTAAAGTACTTTTTGAAACTCAATATGAGAACAATCTAATACAAAATGGGGACAAGATTTAAACAGACACTTTACCAAAAAGATATAAGGATAGTATACAAAAATGCTCAAAATAATTTGGGAACTTGTAAATTAATATCACACACCCAGATGGCTTCAATGGTAAATCCTACCAAACATTTTAGGAAGAAATATTATTAAATCTACACAAACTTTTACAAAATTGAAAAGAAGGATATGTTTCCTAACTCATTCTATAAGGCATAAATTGCTAATTAACACTTAGTAAAGTCTCAATAAAGGCTACAAGTTGTTAATATAAAAAAGTAAGGATTCAACACCTTTTCCTCTATTTAATTTAACTAACACCAATTGTTGAAAAATTCTCACTTTTCATCCAATTACTTGTGAGGCAGTTTCCCACTACTTTTTCATAAATTAAACACATACATATTTACTTAAGTCATTTACATATAACATATCAAAGAAAAATATGTATTTATGTATAGAATATATGCCAATAGAATGTAGGCTCCATGTGAGCAAAGATGTTGCTGTGTCCATTGCTGTGTCATTAGCACCTTAAATGTTGGTGCCACGGTAAGCACTGAATAAATATCTGGTGAGTTGTTATATGAGGGTTTCTTCCTGGGCTAAATATCCTATCCATTGATTAACCTGTCAGTTCTTACTCCAGTACTACATTATTTTAAATAGTCTAGCTTTAAAATTCATTTTAATATCTGATCATCGAAGTTCCCATCATTATTCTTTTTTTCCCCAAAATGTTCTTGCCCAATCCTGCTTATTTATTCTCACAAACAGAATGTTAGAACAATTTTGTCAAGTTCTGAAAATATTTTAAAATATGTTTTTCATTATTAAATGTTAAGTCATGTTAAGAATTTCAAAACAGGCAAAAATAAAAGTTTAATAAGCACTCTACTTACTAGGAGGTCAGATTTCAGGAAACTGTAAACAGTAAGGAGAAAAAACACCTCTAATTAAGCCCCTGAGATAGCAATTCTTAATAACACAGCTTTATAACAAAATCAGGTATTATGGTACAATAGTGATAAAGTGGGCTTTTTCATCATTCATTATTCAAACATTTGTGGTACCTATTAGAAAGTATCTAAGATCTATTTAAGGAACTACTATAAACCTGGAAAAACATGAGAAACTTTGGTAGCATAACTGACAAATGTGCTCTATGTTGGGAAACAAAATTTGCCTTAACAAATTTAAGAAAATTGAAATAATAACAAACATATTCTATGACCACAATGCTTTGAAATTAGAAATCAACTGCAAAAAAGGAAACAGAAAACACACACACACACACACACACATACACACACACACACACACACACACACACAAACGTGGAGATTAAACAACATGCTACTGAAAAATGACAGGGTCAAAAAAGAAAGGAGAGATCAAAAGATACATGCCAGTCCTTGTTTGTCGATTTATTGATGGTAGCCATTCTGGCAGGTGTGAGGTGATACCTCATTGTAGTTTTCTTTAATGTTTTATTGATCTTTAGAGATAGAGGAAGTGAGAAGGATAGAGATAGAAACATTGATGAGAAACATCATTGATCTGCTGCCTCCTGCATGACCCCTATTGGGGATCAAGCCCCAAACCCAGGCATGCGCCCTGAATTGGAATCAAACCAATGACCTCTTGGTTCATGGGTCCATGCTCAGCCAATAAGGCATACCAGCTGGGTTCATTGTAGTTTTAATTTGCATCTCTATGATGATTAGTGATGTTGAGCATTTTTTCATATGTCCTCTTTAGAGAAGTATCTATTCAGGTCCTTTGCCCATTTTTTAAATGGATTTTTTGTAATCCTAGTGCTGAGTTGTATGTGTTGTTTATATATTTTGGAAAATAACCCTTTATCAGATGTATATGGGCAAATAGGTGCTCCTATACAGTGGGTTCCCTGTTCATTTTGTTGATGGTTTCTTTTGCTGTGGCAAAGCATTTTAGTTAGATGTAGTCCCATCTGTTTATTTTTTCCTTTGTTTCTCTTTCCCTAGCCATGGTCGGCAAACTGCGGCTCGCGAGCCACATGCGGCTCTTTGGCCCCTTGAGTGTGGCTCTTCTTAAGCCTTAGGAATACCCTAATTAAGTTAATAACAATGTACCTACCTATGTAGTTTAAGTTTAAAAAATTTAGCTCTCAAAAGAAATTTCAATTGTTGTACTGTTGATATTTGGCTGTTGACTAATGAGTTTGCCGACCACTGCAGGGGATGTATCCATATACATATTGCTATGAGAAATGTCTGAGCTTTTTCTGCCTATGATTTCTCCCAGGATTTTTATGGTTTCACAACTTACATTGAAGTCTTTTATCCATTTTTAGTTTATTCTTGTGTAGGGTGTAAGTTGGTGGTCTAGTTTCTTTTCTGCTTCTTGCTTCTTGCTTCTTGCTTCTTGCTTCTTGCTTCTTGCTTCTTGCTTCTTGCTTCTTGCTTCTTGCTTCTTGCTTCTTGCTTCTTGCTTCTTGCTTCTTGCTTCTTGCTTCTTGCTTCTTGCTTCTTGCTTCTTGCTTCTTGCTTCTTGCTTCTTGCTTCTTGCTTCTTGCTTCTTGCTTCTTGCTTCTTGCTTCTTGCTTCTTGCTTCTTGCTTCTTGCTTCTTGCTTCTTGCTTCTTGCTTCTTGCTTCTTGCTTCTTGCTTCTTGCTTCTTGCTTCTTGCTTCTTGCTTCTTGCTTCTTGCTTCTTGCTTCTTGCTTCTTGCTTCTTGCTTCTTGCTTCTTGCTTCTTGCTTCTTGCTTCTTGCTTCTTGCTTCTTGCTTCTTGCTTCTTGCTTCTTGCTTCTTGCTTCTTGCTTCTTGCTTCTTGCTTCTTGCTTCTTGCTTCTTGCTTCTTGCTTCTTGCTTCTTGCTTCTTGCTTCTTGCTTCTTGCTTCTTGCTTTGGAGTATTTGTTCTAGATCTGTGAAATATGCCTTTGGTATTTTAATAGGGATTGCACTGAATCAATAGATTGCTTTGGGTAGTATGGACATTTTAATTATGTTAATTCTTGTAATACATGAACACAATATATGCTTCCACTTATTTGTAACTTCTTCTATTTCTTTTTTCAATGTCTTATAGTTTTCCAAGCACAGGTATTTTACCTCCTTGGTTAAGTTTATTCTGACGTATCTTATTTTGTTGTTGTTGCAATGATAAATGGGATTTTTTTAGTGTTTCTTTCTGAGAGTTCATTATTGGTGTATAAAAAATGTCATTGATTTCTGGATGTTAGTTTTGTATTAGGTTTGGGGGGTGAGTCTTTAGGTTTCTATGTACAATATTATGTCATCTGCTAATAATAACAGATTAACTTACTCCTTTCCAATTTGAATGACTTTTACTTTTTCTTTTTGTCTCATTGTTGTAGCTAGGATTTCCTGTAGTATGCTGAATAAGAGTGATGAAAACGGACATCCTATCTTGTTCCTGATTTTAAGGGAAACACTTTCAGTTTTTGCCAATTGAATATGATGTTGACTGTAGGTTTGTCATATATGGCCTTTATTATGTTGAGGTATGATCCTTCTATTTGCACTTTGCTGAGATTTTTTTAAATCATAAATGAGTGTTGGATTTTGTTGAATGCTTTTTCTGCATCTATTGATATGATCATATGATTTTTATCCTTCAGTTTGTCTACATAATATATCATATTTATTGATTTGTGAATATTCTTCCAGTCTTGTGTCTCCAGAATAAATCCCACTTGGTCCTGGTGTATGATGTTTGTAATACATTGTTGGATCCAATTTGCTAATATTTTGTTGCAGATTTTAACATCTATGTTCATCAGGGATACTGAGCTGTATTTTCTTTGTATGTGGTGTTTTTATCTGGTTTTGGAATTAGGATAATGGTGGCCTTGTAAAAAGAGCTTGGAAGTGTTCCTTTCTATTGAATTTTTTGGAATAGTTTGAGGAGGATAGCTGTCAGTTCTTTGAATGTCTGTTAAAAATTCACCCATGAAGCCATCCATTGTAGGACTTTTGTTTGCTGGAAGTTTTTTTTTTTTATTATTGCTTCAATTTCATTCATTGTTATTGGTCGATTCAGGTTTTCTGATTCTAATTCAGTTTTAAGGTTATATGTTTCTAGGAATTTGTCCATTTTGTCCAGGTTGTGCAATATATAAATATGTAGTTGTTCATACTATTTACTTACAGTCTTGTATATTTCTGTCAAGTCAGTTATTTTGTGTTTTTATGAATTTTTCCATTTCGCCTATGTTGTCCAGTTTGTTGGTAGATAGTTGTTCACAGTATTTTCTTACAATCCTTTGTATTTCTGTACGGTTAGTTGTTACTTCACCTATTTCATTTATTTTATTTTATTTATTTGGGTCCTCTCTCTTTGTTGATGAATCTAGCTAGTGGTTCATCAATCTTGTTTATCTTTTCAAAGAACCAGCTCTTGGCTTCATTGATCTTTCATCTTGCTTTTTTAGTCTCCATGTCATTTATTTCTGCTCTGGTCATTATTATTTCCTTCTACTTACTCTGGGCATTGCTTGTTGTTCTCTTTCTAATTCTTTTAGTGGAAGCATTAGGTTATTTGAGCTTTTCCTTGTTTCTTGAGGTAGGCCTGTAATGCTGTGAACTTTCCTCTCAGGACTGCATTCACTGTGTCCCATAGATTTTGGGTTGTTGTGCACTCATTTTTTTTTGTTTCTAGAAAGTTTTTAATTAATTTCTTGATTTCATTGGTAACCAATTCATTGTATGATAAAATGCTATTTAGCCTCCATGTATTTGAATGTTTTTCAGTTTTTTTATAGTGATTGATTGTCAAAATTATCTTTTATCTCTTTGATAGATATTATTCTCCCCTAAACAATCTTCTCTTTAACTAGAAATGTATGCATTTTCCCACTCTATGGTGCTTTTAAAAATCAGTTTTTTATACACCATTAGAAAATCAAAACAATTTCTAAACACCTTTTTGGTTTAGAATTTAACAGTATAATTTTTCAGTCATCCAGAGTGTGTTAACCTGAAGCCTGCAAGCCTTGATGTTGATACAAATAAAACCTGAGCTACAACCACAATTATCTTCTTTCTAGCTTTCTTCCATTGTCTAATAACATGATCACCAATGATAATGTTAGTCAGCTAAATGAACACTTGAACAGGTTGGAGAACAAAGGGTAAGACAAAACAGAAGTGTGATAGTGGTGTATAGAAGTTACTATGAAACTGTTGAAAAATAAGAAAGATGACCAGATTTGGGGGGTGCGGGGATGTTAACTCTTTTATTGATGCAGCTAGTTCTCTACTAAAGAAAAACAATAGCAACTAGAGTTGTGTAAATTGTTCTATTGATGGCAGTGGGAAAGACAGAAATAGCAATTATTTGGGAAATCTATGCCAAGTTACCCAAATTGCTAGAAAACTTCTTTGTATGGGAAAATGGCCTTCCCTGGACAATATATTCTGGACTGGTTTGATTCCAAAATGTGTGCCTTTCTCTGCAGTTGTATTGAATTTTAATCTTCTTAAGTGCACTCTCTAGTATCAATTTTGGGAATCAGAATAGATCAAGGCTGTGGTTAGATGGAGGTGCTTTATTAGCATTCATTGCTCTGTTGGCATCTCTCCAGTCACAGATTAGTGAATAAGCTGTATGGGCTCTAGAAAACAATGCAAGTATTCCAGTGCTTTGGTTATCAAGAATTATGCAATATAAACACCTTGTTGATTCTACTTCCAGCTCTGGATTCATAATATTTAGCACATGGTTATTTATGTAGCCTTACCTGGACACTTTCAAAATCTTTATTGTAATAAGTACTGTATTCCCTCATTAGATTCTGTTAAGCAAATTCTTCCTACTTTAATTCATCTCCTGCATCATGACTATCTAGAACAGCGGTTCTCAACCTGTGGGTCGCGACCCCTTTGGCGGTCGAACGACCCGTTCACAGGGGTCGCCTAAGACCATCCTGCATATCAGATATTTACATTATGATTCATAACAGTAGCAACATTACAGTTATGAAGTAGCAACGAAAATAATTTTATGGTTGGGTCACAACATGAGGAACTGTATTTAAAGGACCAGAAGGTTGAGAACCACTGATCTAGAAGTATTTAGAGATATCTGCTGAGTTATGTCCTACCTTACTAATGGCCCAAATAAACTAATTGAAATAATTGTAAAAACAAGAATTTTGCCACAGATTATAAAACTTATAGGAGCTATTGATTTTCCAACTGTGACTTCTGCCTTTAGGTTGTAGGAGACAGTGGAGCATTTTCAGTATTCCAAGTTTGTTAAATAAGACCAAAGTTAACATTTTGGACAATGTAAAAAATCACAGCCTCCTGTCAGAAACACACAAAGCAAGTCTCTCTCTCTCTCTCTTTTTAAATAATGGACAACTTGTACTTCTTTATTTTTAAATTAATCTGTATTGTTGAAAGTATTACATATGCCCTTTTTGTTGTTTTTTCCCATAGATCCTCTCCACCCTGCACTCAACCCTCCCAGGCCTTCACCACTCTATTGTCTGTGTCCATGGGCTATGCATATATGTATGTAAATTCTCCAGTTAATCACTCCCCACCCACCCACCCACCCACCCTCTGAA